ATACTGAAGATTGTAGTCTTTGATCTTCATCAGTAAGTATTTTAAGTTTCTTCACTCCCAGCAAGCAAGATTGTATTATCTGCATATCACAAGTTGTTAATGAGTCTTCCTCCAGTACTGATGCTATGTTCTTCTTCATGTAATCCAACTCCTCAGATTATTTGCTCAGTTTACAGATTGAATAACTATAGTGAAAGAATACAAGCTTAGTGACACCTTTACTAATTTTAAATTATTCAGGGTTTCCTTGTTCTGTTCGAACAACTGCCTCTTGGTCTATGTACAGGTTCCTCAAGAGCACAATTAAGTGTTCTGGAATACCCATTCTTTGTAATGTTGTCCGTAGCTTGTTAGGCTCCACACAATCAAAAGCCTTTGTATAGTCAATAAAGCACAGGTAAACATCTCTTTGGTATTCTCTGCTTCGTCTGACATCAGCAGTGACATCCCTCATTCCACATCCTCATCTGCATCCCACTTGAACCTCTGGCAGTTCCCTATCAATGTACTGTTGCAGTCAGTCTTTTTATCTTTAGCAAAATTTTACTTGCATGTGCTATTAATGATATTGTTGGATGATTTTACATTCTGTTGGGTTGTCTCTCTTTAGAATGGGCACAAATATAGATCTCTTCCAATCAGTTGGCCAGGTAGCTGTTTTCCAAATATCTTGATACAGATGACTGAGTGCCTCCAGTGATGCAAAGGTTTGTTGAAATATTTCAATTTATATTCCATCAATTCCCAGAGCCTTGTTCTTTGCCAGTGCCCTCAGTGCAGGTTGGACTTCTTCATTCAGTAACATTGGCTTTGATGATGGTTGAACATCATCTATTTCTTTTTGGTATAATAACTCTGTGTATACCTTCTATCTCCTTATGATGCTTTCTTCATCATTCAATATTTTGCCCATTGTCGTTGTTGTTAAGTGCTGTTGAGTCACTTCCAACCCACAGCAACCGTGTATAGGGCTTCTGAGGAGTGACTCGTTAGCTTGGACCACTGGCCTAGCAGTTCAAAGTGGCTTTGCAGTCCAGCTTATTAACCCACAGTGCCACACCAGGAGTCCATTTTACTCATAGGCTCCTTGAATAGTACAAGTCGAGGCTTGAATTTTTTCTTCAATTCTTTCAACTTGAGAAATGCTGAGTGTGTTCTTACCTTTGGTTTTCTTCCTCCAGATTTTTGCACATTTCATTGTAATTCTTGAGTTTGTCTTCTTGACCTGTTTCCCAAATTTCTTGTCTGTTCAAGTCTTTTACCTCCTCATTTCTTCTATTTGCTTTAGCATTTCTATGCTGAAGAGCAAGTTTCAGTTTCTTCTGAGGTCCATTTTAGTGTTTTTCATTCTTGTCTGCTTAATGACCTTTTGCTTTCTTTCTGTATGATATTCTTGATGTCATACTACAATTCTTTTGACCGTCGACCATTGTCTAATGCATCAAATCTGTTCTTCAGATGATTTCTAAATTCAGGTGGGATATGTTCAAAGTCATATTTTGGCTCTTGTGGACTTGTTTTTAATTTTCTTCATCTTCAGTCTAAACTTGAATATGAACAATTGATGATCTGTTCCACAGTCTGCCACTGTTCTTGTTTTGGCTTTTTCTACCACACATGTAGTCTATTTGATTTCTGTGTATTCTCTCTGGTGTATAATCATCTTTTACGCTGTTTTAAAAAGGTATTTGCAATGAAGAAGTCATTGGTTTTGCAAAATTTTGTCTTGTGATCTCCAACATCATTTTTTATCACCAAGGCCATATTTTCCAACTACAGATCCTTCCTCTTTGTTTCCAACATTTGCATTCCAATCACCAATAATTATCAATACATCTTGATTGCATGTTTGATCAATTTCAGACTGAAGAAGTTGGTAGAATTCTTCAATTTCATCATCACTGACTTTAGTGATTGGTGCATAAGTTTGAATAATGGTGATATTAACTGGTCTTTCTTGTAGGTGTATGGATATTATCCTGTCACAGTCTACATAATACTTAAAGACAGATCTTTAAATGTTCTTTTTGATGATGAATGTGATACCATTTCTCTTCAACCGGCCTAGTAAACCAAATGATTGTCAGATTCAAATTGGCCAATGCCAGCCAATTTCAGCTCACTAATGCTTAGGATATTGGTGTTTACACATTGCTTTTCACTTTTGACAGCTTCCAATTTTCCTAGATTTATACTTCATACATTCCATGTCCTGATTATTAATGGATGTTTGCAGCTGCTTCTCATTTTGAGCCCCAGCAGTAGTTTAAGGTTCCGAAAACTTGACTCTCTACATAGTCAATAAAATAAGATTTCAGTTTGTATTCCATTACTCTTTCACATTTTTATGATCCACTCTACTTTGAGGAGGCAGCTCTTCCTCGTATTTTGAGTGCTTTGCAACCTTAGGCACTCATCTTCTGGCACTATATCTGACAGTATTCTGGTGTTACTCATAATGTTTCAGTATTCAGTGATTGGGGGAGAGGGTAATTTGACCTTTATAAAATAATGCGCCATGGGAATTTTCATCTTAAATTTGTTCTTACAAGTATTGTTCTCTTCAGTGTCTTATCCAGTCATGTGATTTGTTTGACTGGGTCCCTTAAACATCCTACACTGGTTGCAAGAATTTGGGAAATGCTCTGTTTTCCATTCCAAATACTATTATTCTATATAATTTTCATCTTTTCTCTGCTATTATTTTATTAAGCAGTTAAATTTATATTTATTAAGCCATCACATTTTCTCAAAGAGAAAAACAAAATTCTAGTGAAGTGCATTCAAATAAAAAATAAAGGAAATAAGAGTACAATCAGACACGTACTCTTGTAAGCTTTAGTAGTTTGCCCACACACGGGTGTCACCAACCCATCTTGTTTGTCTGGTTTGTCAAAAGACACTAGCTGCCACCAATCTGGAAGTCACTTCCTTGCTTCAAAAAGGGCATCATTACAAAACAAGAAAATGTCATTTATCTGAGTTAAAACCAGCTACATAAGCAAGGATTGTGCAGAACATATTTTATGCATCATTATTTGAGCCCAATTAGCTCTGACAGAAATTGGTCCTCAATTTTAACAATCAGTGGAAAAGACTTCAGCTTTCACTGAAGACAGTTGCCTTATGCATGTCTATGTTTTTTGCACACTAGGAAAACAGAGAGAAGAACTATTCCAAAGATAATTTTCACATTGTCTTGGCAGCAGTTGTCTCACTGAGGCACAAAAAAGGCAACTCCATTCTCCCAACCCAGTAGTTTGCCTTCTTGGGTATTCAGGGTGGTACCTCCAAGTCCTGGCATAGCCCTCTTCTGGGCTTTAGAGCAGACCCACCTGGAGCTAGACCTTGGTGTGACATTGGGTAGCTTTTTTAAGTCTCTCCTCACATATTTTCATGTCTGTACAATGGAAATAATATACTATCTGCCTTATTCATTGGTTGTGAGGATTATATTAGGATGTTGTTTGTTGTTAAATGCCATTCAGTTGGTTCTGACTCACCACGACCCTATATAGGGTTTCCAAGGCTGTAAATCTTTCTAGTGCAGAAAGCTTCATCTTTCTCCCTCTGAGTGGCTGGTGGGCTCGAACCACCAACTGTCTGGTTCACAGTACAGTGCTTATCCTATAGACCCACTGTGCTCCCCTTATATTCAGAAAAATTCATGAGAATGAGTTACGTTCAGGGTCTGGACTACTCTGAAGAAAGCATCCTCACCTCTCAGAGGCAGTCTGTACAAGAGGACGCAGGGAGTTGAGTTGTGTGGAAAGTATTACCGTTGCTTTTGTTCTAATGATCACTTTTTGCTACTATCCTTGTCATTGTTTTTATTTTCCCTATTAAAAACCCAAAGGAGCACCCCTTACCCTTCTTCATCAGTCTACTGTGGGATTAGTTTAAGTGTGAGTATACAAAAGGAGCTCTGGTTGCATAGTGGTTATGAGTAGGGCTGCTAACCTCAAGGTCACCAGTTCGAAACTACCAGCTGTTCCATGGGAGAAAGGTGAGGCTTTCTAATCCCATAAAGATTTACAGCCTGGGAAGCCCTGTACAGGATGAGTATGAGTCAGAACCGACTCCATGGCACACCACCACCACCACACAAGAGGTGCTCAAGTACAAGTGTGTAAAAAAGGAGGGGCATATTCCAAAATGTGCAAAGGACCCTCATGGGAGAACGAACTGTGTTCCCTTTTCTCAGTCTGGCAGAGGGTACTGCAAGGGTGGGTTCGGTCAAAGCCCAGGAGTTTGGAAAGCTGGCAGGCTGTGGGCACACCCACCCCTCCATGAGCTCACACAGGATGTGGTCTTCACAGCATAGGCCTGGCCATGCTATTATGCCAGAACATGCATCCATTTTCCTGGGTACCTCTGGGAACACAGGGGGAAAGCTTTATTACTGCACTTAGGAATAACCCAGTTATGCAGTTTCCAAGTGGGAATGTCCAGACCCTGGCTTACATAGAACCTAACTCCTATTCCCATTTATATATGAGATACCATTTGCAGGTTATGACGCTAGAGTAACAGATATGCAAGCAAACCTTCACAAAAGGCAAGAGAGCCTGTGCAAATATGAATGTTCACTTGTTTTTCTAAAGTAGTAAAAAAAATTAGATTTCAGAGTAGGATATGAGCAGGACTTGTCTGTGGCCTGGGTTTTGCTAATACTTTGTGGCTATATACACACTTATATATATTCACTCATGCATGCAGACTTGCTTACATATATACATATGTACACACTCATACACATCCAAACACAACACCATACACCGTCTCACACACACACACACACACACACACAAATATACATGTGTGTACTCACACTCATACACATACTTACACATACACAGTCGCTGTCTCAGTGGTGCCAAGAACAGTAGTCTGAAAAGTATGGAACTACCTGAATTTGAATATAAACTGCACCTTCCTTGGGTATTTCTGGGAGCCAATTAAAGAAATGAATGCTCTTGCTTTTTCTTTATTTCCCCCAGAACTGAAAAAGCTACTATAGCCTCAAAGGATGATGAAGACCTCTTCATTACTGGACAGTTCCAGAAAACCCTCACAGAACTTGATGAAGATCTGGAAGGTAAGGACAGCCTACCTGGTACTTTTATATAGCACTGTGAGACTGTAACTCAGAAAGTTATTTGTTCTGTCAGTTTGGGGAGTAAACAAGTGAGGAAAAGGTCTTCAGAAACAATGGCGCTTCAGGCAAATGCGAAGCTGCCTCAATGTAACAGGAGCCTTAAGTGGGGTACATTTCTCAAACAACTCTTCATCCATGTTGCAAAATCATGCTGTATAAATGCTGAAATCAGCTTTTTACAATGTAATCTGGATAATACTACTTCTATACATAAAGCATGTTCCATACATATTTTCAAAAATAAATAAAAGGTTCAAAGTGTCTAAATGAGTTAAGGAAATCCTGAGTGACACAAAGATTAAAAAGCCTTCTTTATTAAGACACCTAAGCTTTTACTTGCTAAAAATATATCTCTCAAAGGGAAATGCAGCCCACACACATCATGTTGGCCACTGGAATCCATTTGTCATGGGGCATCTCATGGCACTGCTACTTTATGGAGATATTTTGAGTAAATAGTAGTGTAAGGTCAATGCAGATACAAGTATTCTCAGTGAACAAATAAGGAATCTTTTAAACTATATTATTTTCTCCAGAGCATAAATAGGAAATTGGCTATGCCTTAAAACCAAACAAAACAAGGAAAAGGAGAAATAGTAGAGGAGGGGAAACAGACTTCAGGATTCATCAACAGTTTTGTCTGACTTATAACTTCTCTGCCCTTAGAATATACAGTTAGCAGAGGTGACAAATCTATATAAGTCTGCTGAGCCCCACAGGCATCTGACCGCATGGCCTACTACATCATTTGGGGCTTTCAAGACACTTGATAATTTTGAGGTACTCAAGACTTAGTCATTTAGCTCCTCTAGCTCTTTGCTGCTAGAGCATGTGGTCCCAAACGTTCTGTTGCACTTCTGGTGAACTTCAGAAACTTAGGGGGTCACTTTCATGTTCCTGTGCTCAGCCAGTTCATTCCGGGGCTTTGGTTTAGAAGTCTGTTTGTTAACTGAAAGTACAGGCAATGTGTTATAACTGAATCTTTCACCTGGAAACATCATGGATCTGCAAACCTTACTTCTGCTGGGCAATGAGGGTTAAGATTCTTTCCTTAGGCATACGTAGATTACAAATGGAAATTCCATTTTAAAATGTATTTAAATGACTTACACAAAAGTAACTTAAGAGAAATCAGACTCGTGGCTCTGATTACACTACTAGTCATGGGAATTACAGATAGTGCCCATGTGTGACTTGTGTTTGTACTTTTTTGCAGAAATGGAAGACAGTTACGAAACAGACACCAGCTCTCTAACCAACTCTCTAAATGATGTTTCCAGCTTCTTGAAACACAATGCCATAATCACTCGCAACAATGAGGATACAATCCCAGTGACATTCATCGGGGAAGTTTTAGATGATCCCATTGATCCGGGGCTGCTTTCTAACAGAAACAACAATGCAGGTTCTCTTGACAAGGGAAGCATTTCCACCAGAAGTGTCCAACTGCCACCATTCCAGACTGAAGACAGTCAGCCTCTTGGAAAGAAGACGGAGAAAGTGCCTAAATCATATATCCCTTCCCAGGAAACCGAAAAAGAAGCCAGACTGGGTTTATCCAGCACCCGTAAAGACATGAATTCAATTCAAATTGCACCTAAGATGACTACTTCTGTCTCGAAGTTGCACAGAGGTGCCCCAAAAGCACAAGGAGAAAACCAGGCATGTAACTGGGCCTCCAGTGAAAAGACTCAGGCTGCCCCGAGAGGGAGCTCACAGCCAGTAAGTAGAAAGGAAGGCAGTGATAAAAATGAGGTAACGCCACCGCCATCATGGTGTCAACGAGGCCAAAACCCAGGGAGTAGTTACGGACTTAAGAATGGCCTCACCACGTATAAGATTGTCCCTCCAAAATCAGAGATGAAGTGTTATGACCGAGGAGTGTCCCTCTCAACAGGCGCCATCAAGATTGACGAGTTGGGGAATCTTGTGAACCCCCACATGAATGGCAGTAAGACCACATCTCTGTCACCATCCAGTCTGGAAACAGAGGTTCAGCCCATTGGAAAAGTCAAAGAATTCTGGAGGTCCAACTCCATGGGAAAACATTCTAATGTGTCCACAGAGTGCTTGGCGAAAAAGACCAGCAGCACCCTGCCAGCTAACCCCAACAATCCAGGAAGCAGACTCAGAGCAGAACCCACCGCACCAGGCACCTCCTCGCCCCAGAAGCACCCTGGTACCCAAAAAGATGAGAGACATCCTGAGGAAGAGAGAAGTCAGCAACAAGGGCCTGCAGCTCCCACCACAGAAATCTCTTTTATCAAGCCCCAGAGAAGAACTTCCAGCCAGTATATGGCCTCGGCTATTGCCAAGCGGATAGGAGCCCCCAAAGCCCACTCTGACTTGGTGACAAAGCACAGTGATACAGAGAAAAGTTACGAAGACAGAGAGCTAAAACCCGCTGGACACCATCTTGTTACAAAAGATGATCTAACCCCCAGCCTTTGCTCAGAGACACCAATATGTAAAGATTCAAAGCAGCCCAGCTTTACCTTCCCCAGTAGTAACCGGGAGGAATCAGCAGTGGGCACTCATTCAAGAACAAACATCATTAGTGCCTATGGAAAGCCCTCTGCTCAAGATTGTTCTGCTGGTATCCCCAAAAGATCCGGTGCCCCACTAATAAAAATGTCCCAGAGGAATCATGTTTCTGTGGGACAGCGCTGTGGCTTTGGTGGAAAGCAAAGTACTGGGAACCAGAACACCAACTCAGTGTCTGAACCACAGTACACGCCGGACAGTACCGACTCTCCACCTTCCCGCTCAACAGACCATCATGCCTTCCCCAGGGCTTTGGTGAATGGCTCAAAGTGGCCCCCGGTCAGCAGCAAGTCTCCTCACTCTCTGAAAGTGTCCACCATGAACAACCACATGGTTCGAGAAAGGGAGCAAAAACCCAATACAGTAACTGCAGATGCACATGAAACAGAGGAAACTTTAACACCCAGCATTTTTGGGCCAAAGAAAAAATTCAAACCTGTTGTCCAGAGGCCAGCACCAAAAGACATGTCCCTGCACAGTGCTCTAATGGAAGCCATCCACTCAGCAGGAGGAAAGGAAAAACTGCGCAAAGTGAGTACATTGGGTGCTCGTCTTAGGGAGTTGGTGCAGGCAACCTCAGTCAAAGCTTCTACACCTGCCAACTGTAGCTTTTATGGACTTAGATTCCGAGAATAAGGCTGAAGGGGAGGGAGAAAGCAGGACAAAAAGGAGGCTGTTGACATATTTTTTTTCTGATATATCAATCTGCCACTCACAAGAAACAAAGTCATTTATTTTGCCCTTTGTTTTGCCCTTTCCAGTTCCTGAATTTAGGAAGGTAAGCGTTCACCTGAGTCCCTTTCCTGAAGGGCCTCAATTGGCAGTCTGTGTATGCTGACCTTCTGTCTGTGGGTTGTGTAAACTGTCAAAGTCAGGGAGTGACAGCCTCCGCCCGGAAACTTTCACCAACTGTCTGACGCACCCCCAGTGACCTAGTCTGACTGTAATCAGAATTTCTGCCTATACCACAGCACCTGCTAGTTCTCTTCTGGGTTTGATGATTCACGGCAGTGGCCACACAGAACTCACACACCATACTGACAGCTATGAGATTTGCTCAGGAAGTTAACAACTTACAAGTCCAGGTCAGAAATGCCCAGGGCACAGTTCTTCCAGTCAGGGAGCCTGTTCTCTGCGGTGCCCACAGGCAGGCCTCTCTCTAGCCTTCAGTCCCTTGGCCTGGCTCCGGTCCTGATTGGCATTGCTACAGAATGCTTTTAGGGCTGCTGATAAATGCCAATAGCTCTCTACCATCAACGTCAACCTGAAGGCACTTGCTCTAGCTCCCTGGATCAGCAAGCCTAGCTCCTCTAATTAAGTGCCTGGAGGTACCCACTCCACAAGCAAGCCTCCTGCCCAAGGATGTTTTGGCTTATCTGCATGACGTTAAGTCCCCTGACTGCAGAAAGTGTCAGCCAGCAAACAGTCCAGAAGGAATGGAGAGGCCAGGGTGTTGGATCATTCCCAGACAAGCCCTTTAAATAATTAAATGTGTATACATTTAAATAATTAAATAAATAAAATTTTAAAAAGCCCTTTAAATAATTAAAAATGCAAGCCAGGGCTGCTGCTTTTATATATTTGTGTTTTTGTTAGCAGTTGTTGTTAAGTGCCATGGAGTCGGTTCCGACCCAGAGTGTATAGGGTTTCCAAGGAGCAGCTGGTGAACTTGAACTTCCGATCTTGCAATTCAGATGGCTTTGCAGTCTAGCACATTAACCTACAGCGCCACACCAGGACTCCTTGTTAGCAGTGATAGACTATAATTCTTCCGTAATGACAGGAATAATAATATTACACCCCTTCACCCAGTCTCTAGGCATTTAACTACTTACAAGGAGCCCTGGTGTGGCACTGTGGGTTAATGCGCCAGACTGCAAAGCCATCTGAACTGCAAAGTCGGCCATTCAAGCTCACCAGCTGCTCCTCAGAAACCCTGTACAGGGTCGCTATGGGTCGGAACTGACTCGATGGCACTTAATAACAACAAATATTTTATAATTTAATAATCATTTTAACAACCCTGATCATTAGAGATTATTATTATCTCTGTTTTTCAGGTGAGAAAACTGAGACAAAGAGAGGTTGGTCATGTGGCTCAGGGTCACATTACTAATTAGTGTGGACCCAGGATTCTCAGCTAGGCTTGCAAGACTCTGAAGCACATGCCAGTTCTGAAAAGTTAGGACAAATGTCAGAAGTGATATAATATTAAGAGACAATCATTTGATGCTACTGCAAATACATGTATGTTGTTGTCAATTGCCAACCGGTTGATTCCAACACGTGGTGACCTCACATGTATGGAGCACCGTGGGGTTTTAATGACTGACCTTTCAGAAGGCCCATTGTCAGAGCTGTCTATCTTCCATAGCACCTGTGGGCATGTTTAAAGTGCCAGCCTTGGGGATAGTAGTTGAGCACATCACCATTTGTGCTACCTGGAAACTTTTCCTCAAATACATAACCCTTGATTTTTTTTTTTTTCTATATCTAAGGTAAGATCAGTACAGAATCTTAAATTTGATGTTGTACTATGCAAATAATAATATAGCCTCCTACAGATAGGAACTATGCAAGGGATCCTACAGGCCTTGGTTATATATGGTGGTTTTCTCTTGATCTGCCTCTGAATGAGATCTCTTGGTCCTATGACTATTCTAGACTGCAGAGCACACTTCAGAGAGAGGATCGAAGAAACTGTCCTACACAGAAGGTGAGAGTGAGCGGTCGGCACTGCTGGCTGCCATCCGTGGACACAATGGTGCCTGCAGCCTGAAGAAGGTAAGAGAAGAGGGTAGACCATTGCCTGATTGGCCAGCCCAACACTCGTAAGGGACTAGGCATGGAAGAGCTGTGTCTGGCTTCAGGGTGCTGGGCAAGAGCTCCTAGAAACACCTCCAAGGTATTTGATGGGCTTCATTGGGCTTCTGCAACCAAAAGCACAAACAGTGTGGCTTTTGATGGCAGAAACGTCTTGTCTCACAGTTCTGGAGGCTGGGAGTGTAAATTCAGGATGTTGGCAAGCGTGTGCTCTCTCCAAAGGAGAAGACCCTATCTTGTCTCTTCCCTGTTCTAGTAGCCCCGGGCATTTGGGGCATTTCTTGGCTTGTGGATGTAGTTTCACATACCCATCATCCACTTGTGCCTTGTTTGTCTCTCTTTTATAATGACACCACTGTGATTGGATTAGGACACGCCCTACGCTGGTATGACATCATACTAGCTTAACTGAGAACATCTTCAAGGATCATTATGTTCAAATAAGGTCAGATCCACAGGTACAGGAGTTAGGACTGTTTTTTAGGGGGACACGATCCAATCCCTAACAAAGTCCCATGTTTTCTGAATGTGTAACTCCACCTATGTGGGTATCTACAATTAAGTAAATTCCAGCTGATGACCAGGTGTAGCTTCAAGCTTAGGAAGTCGAACAACTGTCAAGCCCCTTCATCTATTAGGGTGCTGGGCAATCTCTATGAAATGGCAGTGTTGATTTCCCATGACCTAAGGATAGTGTCATCTGCAGTTTCCACACACAGAATGCAGAGGAACGTCTAACTCATAGGTTCTGCACCATATTTTCAATGTGTGTCCTCCTGCAACAATTGGTCAGGTATCTGTGTCCGTTCTGTTTCTGACCTTGCCTGCCAATAGTTACAAAAGTAGAGAGTCCTCGGTCAATAAGAATTACACTCTGAGAAGACACCCTGTCAAATTCTGGGTCCCTGTTATGGACCAACTGGGGTGAAGGAGGAGACAAGGAGAGCAGGGACAAAAGTTTCCTCAATGAGCAAACACGCATGCTGGGATTTTTGCTAACAATCACTTTGGGTCCACAGTAAGATAATCAACTTCCTCAAAAAAAGCAGTTTGGGGAACATGTTAATTTAATGTTTCATTGCTAGGTGTCATCCTTTGCCTCTGAGGAACTGCAGAGCCTCCGAGACGCTGAACTCTCTGCACACGGGTCAGAAATCCCTCAGCAAGACAGTCTCTGTGTACCACTCCCGCCGCCTCCCCCACCTCCTGCTGCCCCAGCTCCTTCTATGCCCAGGCCAGCCTCCAAATTCACTGCGGGCACACTCGACAACCCTGTGGATGCCAGGCAAGCCTTGATGGATGCCATCCGCTCCGGCATGGGGGCCGCGAGATTGAAAAAGGTGACCGTGTGACTATGCGTAAGCATTTGTGTGTGTGCAAGACAAAATGGCTTGATGCCACAGGTACGCTAAACATATTGGAAGTGAGGTCAGTGTAGGTTGGGAGCCACCAAGAAGACGGAGCATAGGGCAAAAGTTAGTAAACATCTCTGTGATCTTAAAATGTTATTAACAAGAGGAAGAGAGGAGCACACCCCTAATACAGGTGAGAAACTCAGCACCTGAAGGGTAAGTACCTGTCTTCAGCTGAACCTGAAAGGGCAGCAGCTTTTTGTTTTTCAGCATGCTTTTTTTCTTTTTTATGGAATTTATGCACTGATGAATTTATCTATGATTACTGGTAGCGTCGTGGTTATGAATCGGGCTGTGAACCGCAAGGTCAGCAGTTCGAAACTACCAGGTGCTCCACGGGAGAAAGATGAGGTGTTCTGCTCCCGTAAAGATTAACAGCCTCGGAAACCCTGTGCAGGGTCGCTGTGAGTCGGAACCGACTCCACGGCACATAACGACAATAATAACAACCATATAGAAGGAGTCTTGGTAAGGCGGTGGTTAAGCACTCAGCTGCCAGATGAAAGGTGACCAGGTGGAACCCACCAACTGCTCTGCGGGAGAAAAGACCTGGCAATCTGCCCCAGTGAAGTTTACAGCCTAGGTCAGCCTATGGGGAAGTTCTACTCTAACCTGTAGGATGTCTGTGAGTCAAAAATGGACTCGACTCTGCCTAACAATAAAAGCATGTAGAATGAGGGAAAAGGGATAAAATTGGGGTCAATGGAATACAAATGAGACCAAGTAAACTCTTATAAGAAGACAGCTATGGAAGAGCAGTGGAGGGGCATCCTCTCGATGCCAGATTCAGTGCAGAACAGACAAAAGGTGCAAATCCCCAGAGCCCTTCCAGAGGACTTCCAAGTGACGCAGTCAGATATTGGTCCCAGGTATGTTTTTGAGTTTCTAAAACAGTGTTCCTCAAAGATGGTCTCCTTCCTGAACTGAATTTTTCTGGGATTTGAGTTTAGGAATCTACAATGGTTGCTAGGTCTCAAATAGTTGCCAAGTGACTCTATTAAAATTTGAAATTAATGATCTCATTTGACCTTTGGATGTATTTTGAACATTGACTGGCATTGGGTCAAGAAGGCGATCACACACTAGATTTGTGGCTTCATAAACATTATCCTGTTGGCTAACTTTAAATGTTTTCAAAATAGGCATCATGCTCTCAGTCTTGCAGGGGTGATGAGGAACCTGGGGCTTAGAGAAACCGTAGCTTATCTAAGGTCTCACACAGGGAAGAAGAGGTGAACCTTAGAGACAGTGGTGATTTGTGACAGAATTAGCACCTTCCACGTTAGAAATCTGGGCTCGGTTCCAGCCTGTGCACCTCAAGCCCAGCCCCCACTGCCTGTCAGTGGAGGAAGCTTGCATGTTGCTATCAGGTGACCAGGTTTCAGCAGACTTTCTAAATTAAGATGCACAAGGAAGAAGAGACTAGCAATCTACTTCCAAAAATTATCCAATTAAATTCTTAAGGTCACATAACTCCCCAACTGGTCATGGGGATCACAGAGGACCAGGCAATGTGTCATTGCAATGTTCGTGTGATTGCCATGACTTGGGGACCTATTCTTGGCAGTGAACAACAAAATCTTAACTTAGGGCTTTCTTTTTCTGAACCCCACTTCTCCTCTGCCTTCCAGATGGGCGGGGGGGTGGGGGGAAGGCATGAGAATTATCTAAAAGGAGGCAGTGGTGCTGTAAGCAAGGAGATGATGGAAATGTGGGAAGTAGGTAGGCAGAGACAGAACTAGGTGAGTCAGTTGGACATTTGGGGATGAGGAATCAGGGGTGTCCAAGAAGCAGGTCAGTGGTATAGTCCTGGACAAGCAAGGAGGAAAAGCCATCAGGGATCTAACAATCTGGCTGGGTATTGGCCCAGGGTGTTGTTAGGTGCTATCGAGTTGCTTCTAACTCATAGCAACCCTCTACACAACAGAACAAAACACTGCCCAGTCCTGCTACATCCTCACAATCATTGTTAAGCTTCAGCCATTGCTCCTGACACTGTGCCAATCCATCTTCTCTTTTTCATTGACCCTTCACTTAAATTAGCATATGTCCTTCTCCAGGGACTTGTTCCTCCAGATTATATGCCCTAAGTATGAGAGATGAAGTCTCACCGTCCTGGCTTCTGAGGATCATCTGGCTGGACATCTTCCAACACAGATTAGTTTGTTCTTCCAGAAGTCTGTGGTACTTTTGATATTCTTTTCCACCACCATAACTCAAATATATCAATTCTTCTATGATCTTCCTTATTCACTGTCCAGCTTTCACATGCATATAAGGTTACTGAGAATACCATGGCTTGCACCAGATACACCTTAGTTCTCAAACTAACATCTTTGCTCTTGAACACTTTTAAGAGGCCTTGTGAAGAAGATTTGCCTAATCTTTTGTTTGATTTCTTGACTGTTGTTTCCTTGAATGTTGATAGTGGATCCAAACAAAATGAAGTCTTTGACAACTTCAGTGTTTTCTCCAAATATCATGATGTTATTTACTGGTCCAGTGATGAGGATTTTTTGTTTACTTTGAGGTGCAACTCATACTTAAGGTCTTTGATCTTCATCAGTAAGTATTTAAAATCCTGTTAACTTTCAGCAAGCCAAGTTGTAGTATTGTTAATGAATCTTCCTTCAATCCTTATGCCATGGTCTTCTTCATATTATTTTCACAGAATGAAGAAGTATGGTGGAAGTTGGCACACACCTTTCCTAATTTTAAACCATTCAGTGTTCCCTTGTTCTGTTCAAATGACTGCCTCTTGGTCCGTGTACAGGTTCCTCAGGAGCACAATTAAGTGTTCCGGAATAGTCATTCTCTGCAGTGTTCTCTATAGCTTGTCATGACCCACACAGTTGAAAGCCTTTGCTTAGTCAATAAAGCACAGAGAAACACCTTTCTGAGATTCTCTACATTCAGCCAAGATCCATCTGATGTCAGTAATGATATCCTTCATTCCATGGCCTTGTCTGAATCTGCATTGAACCTCTGGCAGTTCCATCAATGGACTGCTGCAGCCATTTTAAAATTATCTTTAGCAAAATTGTACTTGCGTGTGATATTAATGATATTGTCAAATGATTTCCACCTTCTTCTGGATCACCTGTCTTTGGAATGGGTGCAAATATGAATTTCGTCCAATCATTTGGCCCAGGTTACTGTTCCTGTTTGAATTCTGGTGTGGCACCGTGAGCTAAAGAGCTGGGCTGCAGAGTCGCTTTGAACAGCAGTTCAAGCTGACCAGTCACTCCTCGGAAACCCTATACAGAGTCGCAATGAGTCAGAACCAACTCGATGGCACTTGACAACAACAATTGTCAACAATTGTTCCTAATATGATCACGATGTCCTTAAATGTCATTCCAAACCCAGTTTTCATTGTTTCTTGGATCAGGCTGAATATTGTGACCTGCCTTATCCACCCTGAAAAGTTTGAGACAGAAAGCTGTGTTATGGCAATTATAAGATTTGAATATCCTAAATAATTTATAGTTGCTCTTAGGCTAGAAGACTGGCTCTGAGTGACAAGGGTGAGTCTGACATTGGAATGCATGTCCCTTTCTCTGTATCACTGTTGTTGTTAGGTACCATCGAGTTGGTTCTGATTCATAGTGACCAGCAGAATGAAGCACTGCAAAGTCCTGTGCCAACCTCACAACCGTTGCTACACTTGAGCCTGTTGCTGCTACCACTGTGCTAATCCATCTCATTGGGGGTCTTCCTCTTTTTAACTGACTCTTCACTTTACTAAACATAAAGTCCTTCTCCAGGGACTGGTCCTTCCTGCTAATATGTCTGAATTATCAGAGACGAAGTCTCGCCATCTTGGCTTCCAACAAGCATTCTGGCTGTACGTTTTCCAAAACAGATTTGTTTGTTCTTCTGACAGTCCATGGTACTTTCAATATTATTCTCCCACACCATAATTCAAATGCAGCAATTCTTCTATGGTCTTCCTCATTCGCTGTCCAACTGTCATATGCGTATTGTTGTTGTTGTGTGCCATGGAGTCGGTTCCGACTCATACCGACCCTGTACAGGGTTTCCAAGGCTGTAAATCATTACAGGAGCAGAAAGCCTCATCTTTCTCCCACGGAACAGCTGGTAGTTTCGAACTGCTGACCTTGCAGTTCGCAGCCGGATTCGTAAACACTATGCTACCAGAACTTCTTTCATATGCGTATTAGGCTATTGAAAATGCCATGCCTTGGGTTAAGCACACATTAGTCCTCAAAGTGACATCTTTGCTCTCAAACATTTTGAAAAAGAGGTCTTGTGCAGCAGATTTGCCTAATGCAGTACTTCATTTGATTTTTTCACTGCTGTTTCCATGAGTGTTGATAGTGAATTCAACAAAATGAAGTCTTTGACAACTTCAATCTTTTATCACTATTATGCCCAAATGATCCAGGGCCTTCCCCTGCCCACTTGTACTATTCCTCACAGAATCACATAAAACCTACCCAAGAAAATGTGACTGAGGAGGTTAGGAACTAGTGGGTGAATTTATCATCAGAACTGCCCCACACAGCCTCATTCAGATTCCATTAGACTCTCTCAGGTCCAGTCTGACCAGTACCTTCACCTGGAACCAAGACTTTCTTCTTGGAGGTGTCTGCCTGACTTCACTTTCTAACAGTTTGCCTGCAGCCTCCTCATTTTATCTGAGGCACCACGGGAAACATTGCCACGCAGGCACTGAGAGACCATGGTGCATTTTTCCTAATAGATTAAACCCACTGCCGTCCAATGCACTCTGGCTCATGGTGACCCTGGAGGACAGAGTAGAGCTACCCCGTACACTGGTCATGACTGTAGTCTTTGTGGAAACAGACCGCCACATCATTCTCCTGCAGAGTGGCTGCTGGATTCACACCAACTGCCATTTGTTTAGGAGACGAGAGTTTTGACCACTGAGCCGCCAGGGCTTTTCCTATCAGATTGTTATTGTTGTTAAGTGACGTCTGGTTCGTTCTGACTCATAGAGAGCTGTATAGTATTTCTAAAGAGCATTTGGTCCTCCGTCCTTGGAGTTAACGGCCCACTGTAGGACTACAGGACCACACTGGGACTCCTAGAGATCAGATGGCACTTTTTTGCTGTTAGGTATGTCATTTGGGCATCAAATAATTTGATGGCATTTATTAGATATTTACATTTATTTCAACTTTTGGACTTTAAAAACTATGTAGCCATAAGGAACACATCTGAAATGCAGGGTCACCAGGTTCCATAATGGTTGAGCGGGGCTCTCTGTTATGTGCACATGGATTGATTTCCTTTCTTCTGTTCTCGGATGTTCAATGAGGGCTTCAGGACAGCTGTTGCTGAAAGAACATCGTGGATCAGTGGGATATTTTATAGGTTGATTTTACTTTTTAGGTATAAGCAGTAAAACCAGTTGTAGCCAAATCCATTCTGACTCTTGGTGACCACAGAGTAGAGTAGAACTGCTTCATAGAGCTTTCAGTGACTATTTTGAAGCAGTAAATCACCAGACCTTTCTCCCAGGGGACTGCTTGTTGGACTCAAGCCTTTTGTTATCACCATAACACTTCATCCATCTGTACCACCCATAGGCTATACTCACCTTATACAGAATCTTGCGAATATTCAAGACAACCGAAAACACGTTTGTCTTCCATAGTGCATGAAACAAATGCTTTCTATGCCTTTGTGATTTTCTAAGATATTTGTTGATTCTATATGTCATTTCTCCCACTAAAATCAAGAGCATGTGCAGTTCTGCTAAGTCTGCTGCCACCTCTTCAATACAATACCAACCACTCCTCTTTAATACAACATTTCAGGTTTGCCCCACCCTGTGGTTTTTCTTCCAATTCACCCTTCATTCATATTAAAGGTAAAAGTGTGTGCATCTGATTGCCTGCTTGAAATGCATTCTTGCAGAGATCCTGAAATTTACACCAAACCAAAAACTTCCAAACCCGCTGGATTTCGGGTTGATTTTTGACTCCTGGCGACTCAGGGACAGAGTGGAACGGCTCCCTAGGGTTGCCATGGGTTCAACCTTTATGGAAACAGACTGCCACTTCTGAGCAGCTGGTGGGTTTGAATCACTAACCTTCTGGTTAGCAGCCAAGCACTCAACCACTGCACTATGAGTTTACACCAAGTACCTTGTTGTTGTTGTTGTTGTTGTTGTTGTTGTGAAGTGCCATCAAGTTGGTTCTGACTCACAGTGACCCTGCTTGAGTGCTTGGGGGTTTCAACCACCAACATTGCAGTTCAAACTGACTTTACAACCAGCCTGGTGCTTATCTTAGAATACCACACCAGCACTCCATAATCATGGTTTATATTTTAGGTATCTGTACATCCCACTGTTCATTCAGCACTCATTGCCTGCAAGCCTATCAGATCTAAGAGCTGTGGAGGCCAATCTTCATAGAAGACTGAGTGACACCTTGCCTGTGTCCTCAGAGAGATTTCAACCATGGAAAGAGGGAGCTATGCATTTTGTTGGAGTCCTTGGGTAGTACAAATGGTTCATAGTCTTGGCTACTAACCAAAATGTTAGCAGTTCAAGTCTACCCAAAGGTACCAGATAACCTACTGCAGAAAATCCAAATGAGCTACTTCAGAAAAGTTAGCCATTGAAAGTCTGTGGAGCACAGTTCTAATCTGACACGCATTGCAATCACATGAGTTAGTATCAATTCAATAGCAACTAGTTTGGCACATTTTGTTGTTGACCTTACGAACGTTTCAGAAAGAAGGGTATTGCCAAAGTCCCTGAGACATTTTCCTTGTGTGCCATTATCTTTCCTTTCAGAAGGATATTGGAGCAGGTGTTGACTCAGTTTCCTTCTGGGAAGGAAAGGCTGTGACGTCCATTGCACTGATGGGCAATTGAACGCAGACATTGTAAATCATTTATCCCGGGCCTTACGGAGGTCAGTGCCACAGTCAAGTCCAGACACCTTATCAGGCAGACTTGGGTAACTCCCAGTTCCTTTGGAATATGCTTCACAAAAGCCAGGCCCACTGTCTGCTCCCTGCTGTGCCCACACAGATGGCAGCTTTCCCACTGCGTGAACGAACATGCAGGTGGTGACACCTGGGCGTATCAGAAGACCCTGTGAGGAATTAGTTAACAGGTGACAAACCCAAAACTAGAGGACAAAACAAAGCAAAATCCTATTTATGTCTAAGGGTCTTACTATGTGGGTTAGAGATCCAAGTTCCTTAAGACTACGGAATAATGATTTATATTAGAACATGAAAACTAATCACAAGTAAAGAAGTAGTGCTCGTGATGTAAGCCTTGGTTTAGGCTAAGTTGAACTAGTTTAGAGGAGCAGAGAGGCCATTTCTGTTTTTGTGGACTCTGCTGTGGTCATTCTGACCACTATAGCCCCAGCAGGTCAACTGTGTTTCTACAAAGCCTGTCACAACAGACTCCTTCATGCTGTGACCTCTCAGGACTTCCGCTCACTCTTCATGTTCTGTTCTTATAGTTGCCTCAAGTCCTCAGAAAGCCTCCATGAAACCTTATACTGGGTTAGGTTACTGTGTTATAAAATCAGATCATTTTGTCTTCATAATACCTACTAACCCCAACATTGTTTCTATAGCAATCAGTGTAATGTATGTTTAATGCCTGACATATCATACAAGTCTACCCATCATACCCCAGCTCCTGGCACATAACAGATATTCAATAACGACTAGAATGGAGAGAGAAAGCTCATTCTTTGCCATGTTTCCATGACCTTTCAGACTAGTAGCCTTGTGTGAGTCATGACTCCAGTGCATTAATCCACAGCGCCACACTCCACAGGCTGTCTAGGACGGGAGTCCAAGCTGGGTATAAAAACACTGGAAAACAAGAGGAGGTGGATGAGCGTACAGGGAAATGAGGGTAGGGGAGCAAGACCTACAGTAATCTTGTCAAGACAAAAGCCACGTTAACCTACGGCCCGCACGTTCTGCTCAACTCCACCTACTGAGCAGTGTTATTGACTACCCTTTCATCTGGAGAAAGCCACCCCATCTGCATCTCAGTTTCCTCATCCTCATATTGGAGATGTACCCTTAATAATAATAGTGACAAGAACACAGCACTTATTGGATGAGCTGAGGTTTGAATGAGATAACCCTTAGGCAATGCTTGTGAAGGTGCCTAGCACATAATAAAGACGCAATAAGCATTTTCAATGCCATCACTGTTGTGGTCGCATTTGCTATGTTTTTTATTGTTAAGGGAACACAGTTTACATCCATGAAGCTTTACTTGGATAATGCATTAAAAAGTGGGTGAGATGTGCAAACTGCAGCATTGTTCAGTTCAGAATGAGTGGGGCTCAGGAAAACCACAGTGAGAAATTCAGTATTCTTTTCCTATGGTTTCACATGTATCTGTTCCTCCCTTTAAAAGCCTTTTGAAGCACTGAAATATTCCCTTCAGACTTCCACAAATCAAATTCTCAGCAAGTGGGCTATCACCGAGGAAACAGGACTGGACTAAGAGTGGAAGTCTGAGTTCTAAAAGTCTGGATTTCTCATCACATGCACTAGGGCCTTGTAAGCTTGCCATTCATTCGTTATTGTTGGTAAGTGACATTAAGTCAATTCGGACTCATAGCGGCCCTGTATAGAGTTTTGGAGGAGTGGCTGGCAGACTTGAACCACAGGCTCTGCAGTTCAAACTTACCCTACTGTCCAGTGGCTATCCTGCAGCGCCACGCCAGGTCTCATCCCACACTCAGTGAGTCCCATGCATTGAGTGATTGCTCAGACATGGATCCTGCCCTGCCAGAGCCTCCGCTGCAGTGGTAAGGTTAACAGACTCTTAGGAAGCACCCCATGCCAGGGGCGCCCAGATAGAGCTCTGGTTAGTGTCTCCCAACCCCAGAGGTCCTTTTCACAGAGATAATAGGAAAACTTATTTTTGAAGAAGGAATAGCCATTTACTAGAAAAAGCAAAAGTTGAAGAGTGGCATTCTTGACAGAAACACCCCTGAAAAAATGGCCCAGAGGAGGGAAAGATCAGAGAGGTGGGGGACCAAGGGCTCTGGGAGAATGTACCATTCACTTTCCAAGGAGTCCATTCTTCAGCCATGCATTACCAATGAATGCAATAGCAAGTCACTGAAAAAGCTTACAGGGACACCTGTGCTTCAGAAAGATCACTCTTTGGAGATATAAGTAGACTGGGTGTCAGTGTAAACATTCTCAGTGAGTTCTAAGAGTAATATGTCAAAGGGGTTTTGCATATGTAACTATTGTTGTTGTTAAGTGCCCTTGTGTTGGTTCCAACTCACAGCGATCCTTTAAAGGATTTCCAAGGAGTGGCTATCAAGCACCTAAATATCTGTACCTTTCACTTACCAGCATACGCTGAATGACTGTGTGTTTGGGTTTTTTTTTCTCACTGCAGGTACCCTTGCTTGTATGAATATCAATAAACTTCAGATAATTGCAAAAACCCACCTCAGAAGACATCCAGAATCATCACTCAAGGACTTCACGGGACAAGAAACATCAGGACTTAATGTTACTTTCTTGTCTACAGGCCAAAAAAAGTGTAGTTGATTTTCAGCATGTCCCCACATAATGGTTCAAAAGGAGTGGAAAATGTGGCTTGTGTGCCAAGGAGATGTGTTTTGCCTCTGCATATCTAAAGTTGCCAATAAATTCTTCTTGTTGGCAGGTGAATGGGAAGATGAGTGTCGCAGCCCGGCACTAATGCTTACATTAGATTTATGGGCAAAGTGAAAAGAATCGTGCCTCTAACTCATTTTGGATCTTTAAGACTTTGATCACATATAGATGATTAAAACCATTGACTTGTTACAAATCTTTTGACTTCTGGAATACTTCACTTGTAAAATTCGAAATGATTACATGTTATATGCTTCTATGTGTTTTCATTGTAAGAAAGGACGAGTTGGAAGAGCTTTTTCACAGATGAAAGTGTTAAATAATGAAACTACTGGGTTCTTATTCTTCTCGGAGTTGGGGCTAAAATCTCATGGAAGGACTTGGGTCATAATCTGATCCACAAAATTTTAAAGATAAATTATTGTCACTCAGAACACTAATCATACATGATCATGCGAACTCCAGAGAGGGTGGATATCTTATGACCCAGGACCACATTGGAGAGGGCTGTTGAATGAATACACCTCCACTTTGATTCTTGGTCCCCAGTGGGGTATGAAGTATAGCACGCCTCTCTAGCGGGAGGCTGTCTGCCGAGCCCACTGACTTCCTGAAGGAGCCTTCTGAACTCCCTCAGAGGGTGAAGAAATACAGATGTTGGGTGTTTGTATCTATCTGGCAGAGACTGAATAAAACTTGTGTTTATTATTTCATGATTTTAGTTCAGTTTTAAGCCTTTTGCTCAACAGACCAGCAGCTCCCCTTGTATTATAAACCAATCTTCTGCTAGTATCTGGTGTTCAGTAACCAGTACTTATCTAACAAACTTTAACTACGCTAGGAATTTTTCATATAGATTCATGTATCTAAACACTTTGTTATATTGAAAAAAACTCTATAAGAGGTTAATAGAAATCAACACAACTTTATGAAGTGAAATCTCTGTCTTAGTGTAACAACAAATATGACTAGATCATTTTAATGTTTTATAATACTTCCAATCTGGGCATCAAGTAGAATGGAATGTCAGCTTTGCGTTGTCTGATTAACGTTGCTAAACTTTCTTGGTGAAGAAAGAGCATCCAGCCAATTTCTCTTATCCACAGCTGTCTCTACTCTGTGTCTTTTAGTGCCACGAATAAAAGAAATCAAATTGCAGTCATTGTATGAATTTCATAACTTCATACTGCACTTGTTCGGATGTTATAGGATACCCTACTCCCAAAATAGAAAGCAGGAATTCATTTAGTCAATCAACAAAAACTTACAGTCTACAAACTATTCTCTTCTAGTCACTGGTTTATAGCACATAACAGAACAGACAAAATTGTCCTCGTCGTGATTCTGTTACAGTGAAATATATAGACAATGAACAAGATAAATAAGCAACATCTTGAATCTATTTAGAAGTGTCTGAGTTCTAAGGGGTCCTGTTGTGGTGCTTTAGAATAAGCACTGGACTGATAACCACAAGATCAGTAGTTCAAACCCACCAGCCACTCCTTAGAAACCCTCTACAGGGTCTCCGTGAACCAGAACGGACTCAACGGCACTTAATAATACCAACAATAAATCCTAAGCAAAAAATCAAGTAGAGAAAGGGAATTAGGAGAAAAAGAGGGTAGTTAAGAAAGGACTCAGTGAGAAGGTGACATTTGAAAAACAAAACACTGGAAAGATATGAAAGAAGAAATCATGGGTGGAAGTACAAAGGCAGGCTTCTGCTGGAGGTGACTTTAAAGCAAACAGATTTTTTTCCTCACAGTTCTGGAGACTGGATGTCCAAGTCCGGTGATTGACCAGACTGGTTCTTTTTGAGGGCTCTGAGAGAATCTGTCCCATGCCTCTCTCCTGGCTTCTAGTGGTTCACCTGGCCGTCTTTTCTTTTAACTCTCTGTGTCTGTTCTGTTTTCTAAGATCCCACTTAGATGGTCCTGGTGTGGCACTATAGGACAAGCATGGGACTGCTGGCCATAAAGTCAGTGGTTCAAACCCACCAGCCTCTCCTTGGAAACCCTATATAAGATCATTAAGAGTCAGAACTGACTCAATGGCATTAAAAAAGAAAGAAAAAAGGTGGGATTAAGACCTGCCTTGCCCACTATCATTTATGTTAACTGATAATGTCTTCACAACCCCTATTTCCAAGCCAGGTCACGTTCACAGATATCAGTGGTTAAAACTTCAACATAACCTTTTGAGGGAGACAATTCAATCCGTAACAAGAATAGGTGATTTTTTTTTTTTTTTAAGTACATCTTTTGGCCCACATTTCCTAGGGCAGCCTTGCTCCTAGCAGACTGAGAAGTATGGGGAACGTGAGGGACTCTGAGTTGGGTCTGGAGAATAAGTCCAGTAATGTGACTTCCGCCTCACTCACATTGAAAATGTGTCACATTCTGCATCTGAAACCATGCCAAAGTCATGGGCTTTGAGATGTGCAATGTATATCCATTACAGCATTCTGCTTTGATCTTTTCATAACATATTTTCACTATTGTTCTTGGTTCATTTCAGTAACCCTGAGGCATCCTTGCTTTCCTGGTGAGATAATAAACGCACTGCAGTCAAGTTAAGTTTGCCTCATAGTGACCCTACAGAACAGAGTAGAGCTGATTCATACAGTTTCTGAGGCAGTAATTCCTCACAGTCTTCAAAGAAGATGGCCTCATCTTTCTCTTGTGGAGTGGCTGGTGAGTCCAAACCACCAAGCTTCTTATTAGCCCACTGCACCTTTAGACTTCATGTGGTCTAACCCTCCCCCATGATGTGTTCTTGTTAAATGCCTCAGAGTCAGTAACCCACTCATAGTGACCCCATATAGGGTTTCTGAGGAATGGATGGTGTTTGAATCGCCGACCTTACAGTTCAAACTGACCTTGTGATCCAGTGCTTATAATACAGTGTCACACCACGTCTCCTTCTTGTTGTTAAGTAACGTTGAGTTGGTTCTGACTCATAATGACCCTGTATAGGGTTTCAGATGGGCAGCTGGTGAGTTTGAACCACCAACCTTGTGACTTTCCAGCCAAGCACATTAACCCACAGAACCATACCAGGACTTGAGGTAGGCTTAATCTCAGTCATTCCTGCATTGGTCCCAATATCTATTTCCAATCATCAACAATTTATGTAATGCACCTAGGTAATGTATACTTCCCATATGCCTCAATTTCCCACCACCAGAAATGCATGACACCAAACTCCTATGGCCATCCTTGTCCTTCCATGTAGACACCATTTCTGCCACGTGGGTTGAAAAGGAAAGAGAGGAAATAGGAGCCTGACACCAAGTCTGCTCCAGGAACAGGTCCCACATAAACTCCATCCTGAAGAGAAGACCACACCATAACTGTGACCCATCAATGCATAGCAACAGCACTCAGTACAAAATGTGACCCAAGCAGTGTGCCAGTATCTGGCCGATCCTAGCAGGACTTTCTCCTTGGGTCAAGGAGTTGTTGTTAAGTGCAGTCAAGTCAATTCTAAATCATAATGACCCTGTATAGGGTTTCCGAGGAGCAGCTGGTGAGTTTGAACCACCGAGTTTGAGATTCAAACCGACCTTGAGGTCAAGTGCTTATCCAATGGCACCCCACCAGGACTCCTGGGTAAAGGAGTTGGGGGTTGGGGAGGGGAGGTTGAAAAAATGGAGGGAAAGGGGAAGATTGACCCTAGAGAGATTATTCTCTGGTTTCTCAAAGCATCTTGACTTGGGAGCCATTTTAGGAAACTTACCAGAGCCAAAACACCTAAGCAGTTTTGAGATTGCACTTGAGATTTTACCTTGTTGGTGATGTCCTGGTCAGGAAAGGTTTGCTCATGTCAACATCAATTTTAGAGGTACTGATTTGACTCAGCATTCCTCCAGACATTATTGGACATCTTGGAATGTTTTCTCTCTGCAAAGGAACCCATTGTCACTGTGGAAGGGCTAGGACTGGTGGGTGAGAAGCAGTCAGCAGATGCCTAGGGGAGTCCAGGTAAGGGAGGGAAAGCCTGTTCCGGCTACCACAGTACTGATGGAGATCAAGAGAGACAGGGATGTGTCTGAGGTTGGTAAAATTGGGTGCACTTGAACTGGGAATAAAAGAGCGCAGGTAAGGTGTTCCTAGCCAACTCAAATACCACATCATGCAGCAGAGTCTGGAAGGAGGTACACAGGCTGGGGCTGGGAGTCTGATGAGTTGTGCTCAACAGCTCCTCTCGAGTCTCCCTCGAGGGTCTTCAGATAAAAGCTGCCATGAGCTGAGTTTGTGTCCGATGAGTGAGTCTTCTAAGAACCACTCCCAAGGGGCTGAGAGCCAAGTACATCAAAGCCTTCCAGCTGGCTCTCTCCTAACAGATGCCACAGAGCTGTCCATGGGACTAGGAGGACACCAGGTCCTAGGACAAGAGCCAGCTTCCATGTGGCCACCACCACTGCTTGATTCTAGCACCAGGAGGCAGCACTGGGCCCCCAGCCCAGCAGAGATGCCACAAGTCAGCAGATCTAGAGAAGATACTGAAGGCCTGCTTGAGAGTTCCAAGGGAAAGAACTCCTCATACTTCTAAGGGTGCAGAGCACCCAGGAAGGGCAAGCAGTTTTGTGTTTCTATACGCACCAGAGACCTGCCAGCCCATGTATCCCTCTCCTCCCCTTCTTCGGTTTATCTTTTAGTTAACACTAGGCTAAGGAAACTATTTTGATTCAGACCCCATGATGGGTGCTAGGGACAAAAGGGTGAACTAAATACATTCCCTGCTTTCAAATAACCCGTCTAGTAGGAGACATGCATGTGAACCGCTAATCGC